AAATCCCCCCTTACTTTCAAAAATTGTAAAAAAGTCTTAAAAAAACAAAGGAGCTTGGACACACGTATATGATGATTACCGCGTTGCCGCGATTGCCGCGTTGCTACCTGGTCTCTCACTTCGGATTCGGCCAGACAAGTCTCTTCCTATAGAAAACTTTTTCCTATAGACAACCTTAGCAAACCCTAAGGAGATCAAAGAAAATGCCAAAGTTAAAAATTCAAATTACAAAAATCCCTGAAGTTAAGTGACATGGCTAGAAATCCAACTCAAGTTTCAGGCTTGTATAACTCACCGACATCTTATGCCGAAAACCCTTAGAGGAAAAATGCCCTAGGTGGGTGAGCTCGGTGAGCGCAATGACTTTGAGGGATAGTTGGTGTGCCCTTTGACCACGTGACTTCAAGAAGAAATTTAAAATGTCTGTTTTATCTTTAACGTTCACTTGCCCCTCGAAGGACAGAGAAAGCCAAAGTGTCTACTTCTTTGCCACTGACCTGTCCCTCGAAGTAGAGGGAGTGCCAAAGAGGGGCAACTGTAGACACCCCATTTTAAATCTGGCAAATTATATGGTTTTTTTAACCCTTAGGACCACATTATCCTAGTAGACCCAATTTAATTTCCTCAAAACTACCCAAATCCTATCCCAATTTGAAGTAGAATTCAAGAGCTTTCCAACGGTTCAAGAATCGCCTGAATTGGACCTACGGATAAAAATGTATAAAAAAATAACAATTTAGTCCTTGTGAGACCCAACTGTCGGGCTGGGTTGTAACAGACCCGACAGGCCTAGACTCGGGCTGATAACGTAGTCAATGCATCTGATGACATAGTAAACACGTTTTCTTTAATTAGATATGGCTAAAACTTCAAGAAAAATCCAAATTTTTTTGAAAAATCTCCAAATTAGTTAGGAAAAATCGCCAATTGAATCTTATAAATGCCCCCTCTCCCTAACCCAAAAGGAGAGAGAAAAAGAGACAAAAAAAAAAACCTTAGAAATTTTTGAAATTAGGAAAATTACCTAAAACTACCAAAAATAGGAAAAACCCTTAGAAAATTCCTAAAAATTTAGGAAGATTCCCCAAAAATTAGAGAAAATCTCAGAATTCATATTCAACCTCTGGAGATCACAAAACCCTTAGAAAACTAAGGAAGTTCTCCTCCAGACCATTGGAAAGACCGATAGCTTTAGAAAAATCTCTAGATTGAAAACCCTAAAGAAAATAGAAACCCTAGCCTCTTGAAGTCCTAACCCCCAAGGCTGAGAAAACCTAGACCTAGGGTACAAAAAACCTAGATCAAAACTAGAATTAAGGCACAACAAACTTAGATCTAACCCTTTACACTAGAGATCTACTGGTCAACATCTAAATCAGAGAAGCAAAGAGGACCGGTTCTGATACAAGTGAGCCCTCGAAAGTTTGGGAATCCCAGGCCATCCGGCCCAATTTGGTATTATTTCTTTCGCTCTCTTCTTCTTTTTTTTACTGTTTTATTTATTTTTGATATGTTAACTTGTCTTAAAAATCGTATTTTAATGTTCTGGATCATGCTGGATCTGCCACAGATCTGAGAGTAGATCTGCTCGATTCTGGGAAAATCTGGTCTCAGATCTAAATTCGATCTGTCCCACTTTCTCTACCACTTTATTTGCATCTTCTTAATTAGCTTAAGGTGTTAAAATTTGAGAGTTCTTCATCAGAAGATATGTCAGATTTTCATCGTAAACAAGATCGTCCTAATAATGTTTTACACCAAAATAACATGTTATGATAAAATCTGGAGGTGTGCCTTAAAGGTTGTAACCTTATAGAAATCACACCCATAAATAAATGCGTAGGGAGTTGACTCAATGGGTTTTGTTGGAATTTTCCCTTGTTATTACCGGTAATTAAATGCTCTCTCATATATGCATTTGTACCCCAGGATCAGCAAATTTTTCATTCTTTCACAAGGGAAGAATTAGTGTTAGGAAGGTATTCTTGATCTAAATTAATGCAGAACATTTTAAAGACCCGATTTCTATGTGGCCAAGCCTGCATATGTAGAAATATGGGCTTATTAATAAATTTATTTTTGAGATAGATTTTTGGGCTTAAGTTTTAAGGATATGTAATCTCTAATATGGAGATCATGAATATATTAAAATAAGTAAATTTTAAAAATTAGAAATAGTAATTCTAGTAAAAAAACATTTGAACCGTTAGTTTCTTTTCTATTGTTTTTAGATGGAACACCTATTTGCAGCAATCTTTAAGATGGTTGCTTTACACTTTTTAGACCGTATGTGTAGTCACATTTTAATTCACCGAGTGAACAATTTATTTCAATGAAAAGAATGATAGATTTTGTGCTCTTAACCTATTGGAGATCATTCTTCGAATGGACGGTATTCATTAACTAATGAAGCCGGGTTCATTTGGACTATTGTTAGGGTCCAAATTGTTCATTCATTCTTTTTTTTTGTTAATTTTACTGCTGGATTGATAGCTGAGATGAAAAAGAAGAAGAGGTGCATAAAGAATAACTCCAGGTTTTGTGGCCAAATAACCCCTCTCTACTGAGGTTCCAAAACTCGTCCAATTCGACTCGGACGTGGCACGTTGCCCGGCCAATTCCAAAGTACAAACTCGGTATATAAAAAAGGGTTATGTTCTCAACAAAATTTGGATATTTTGTACATAGAAATTTTTTTTAGTAATAGTAGTTTTAGTCATTAGGAGGAGTATTACTTCATCTACATAGGAAGTGACCAAAATAGAGTATAGAAGTGTCCAAAATTTACTCAGAACAATGATAAATTATTCCATGAGTACCCTAACATAACCTATAAAGAATTATAAAATTTACAGTGATTTATATATGGACTCTAAACATTTTCTTAAATACAAAAAATGATCAGATTATAGTGGAAGTTTGACACACCGAACTTCTGGAATACCAAACTAAATCTTGATTTCTTCTTTAAACTCAAATGGTGGTATTTCATAAGCTGCAAAACAAGTATTATTTTCTTCACAATTGATTTTTGAAAATTTTTGCACGTTTTGGGCTATTGGCATCATCTTTGTATCGAGATCTATTGGGTTATTGGCTACATCTTTTGTATCGAGATCCATCTCTTCTTTATTTTGTTCATAAGATTGCTAGATACGAAATAGGTTTAATAGACTTTGTCCTATAAATTTGCTAATACGCTCTACAAGGTCTTCGTTGATTTTCTCAAATATTTGATCTAGAGGCTTTATGGCTAGATATTATAGATCTCAAAGCTCTCATAACAACTGATGTAAAAAGAAATAGTGAACCAAGAAAATAAAAATACTAAGGGAATCCACCCCAAAAAGTTCTTTTAACATGATCAACTTTACTCAATTCCAATATGTTTTATTTTACATAGCTCGACATTTCCCTTTTAACTACAACTAAAATAATAAAATTAATAAAAAAAAAACTATTTATCTCTCCTTAAAGCTCATTTCTTTACTTAAAAAATATAACCTTTTAATTACATGTATATCAAAAGTTTGGCTTTTCAACTTAAAGTTGGACTTCCTACATATTAAAACATAGCAACTGAGATAGTCCTATTTCTTTATGTCTAAGAGATAGCTCTTAAAATTAAAAAATAAATATCATTTATACCCTCAAATCTTGAAAAGAAAAAAATACAAAAATGTTTTCATAGGCTCCAGCCCAATTAAAAGAAGTAGGGCGGCGGCCTACCTCACCATGTGATAATTTGGACGGTGAGGATTTCTTGACTAAAGTCAATGGAAAATGGGGCCATCGAGAGCCCCGGTGACCTGTCCTTTTGGAAACCTGCTGTATTCTTCCCTGTATCTCTCTAAACAATTTACCTAGTTTTCTCTCTCCAGCTACTCTCTCCCTCACGCTGATCTCTCTCTGCAACTATGGTTTTCTCTCTTCAGACACTATCTCTCTCACTGATCTCTTTGCAACTAAAGAGACCAGGCACTATCTCCCTCGCCGATTTCTGTGCAACTAAAGAGACCTCACGCTTCGCTCTCCAGGCACTATCTCCCTCGCTGATCTCTCTGCAACGAAAGAGACCTCACACTAATCTCTCTCTGCAACTATGGTTTTCTCTCTCATTCTTGAATTAGGTTTTTTTTTTCAAATCAAGGTTCTTAATTTAACATGAAAGAACAATCTAGTAGAGTGACATTGGCATAATCAAAGGTAAAATCCAAAAACCTATGAAGGCTCAACCAAGATTGTCAATATAAAGTTGGCCAAATGATGCCATAAAATTTTTAAAAACCTCTATGATTTTTAATTTCATATTTCATAGTTGCAAAATGGAATGTAGATTTGCTCTGTCACACTGTGTGGTTTATGTGATTTTCTTATGAATATGACAAATGGGGCTTTAGAATTTGCTTATGTATATGACAAATGGGGCTTTAGAATTCACAATGGTAGCCTCAGCCAATCTTCAACCTTAAAGGCTTCCAAAGAACTCAAAAGGAGACTTGAATTGAAGAAGTATGAAATCTTAAGCCAAGCAACTAACAATCAGACCGATTTGCCTGGGCTCCTTTCTCTCTCTTGTGGGTGGTGCATGGATTCTTCCTCTTAGGCCCACGAGGGGGATCATCGGTCTTTCTCTTTTTCTGCCAATGCCTTAAACCTTCTGTTCACTCTCCTGGTGAGAGAAACCAACCAAAAGTGGGTAGCAAGAGGGTAAGATAAAATCATAATAAAAAAAGAGAAAAAATGCGCAATGGGATTCCCCCGGTTTCCTTCATTGGCTACTGTACATAATGTTTACCATCCAAATATATGGACAGTTATCTGTACCATCCAAATATATGGACAGTGTTGATGACTGCCGCCATATAGACACTTCACCCCCTAAATAATACCAAATCTAAACTACAATAAATATACAAAAAAAAAAACCCATTTTTTATTTGCATCACCCTCTCTCTATCAACGGTTAAAATTGTGTATGAAGTATGAACATGGTGCAGGTGGCCTTGTCCTAGCAACGCTGGCAGACACAACTCTAGGTCGCAAGAGGATGCTTCACATTACATGCCTCATGATGTCTCTAACCGGCCTCTTCGCCTCTCTCTCTCCAAACATATGGATCTACTCCTCATTTCGATTCATAGGCGGCTTCGCCCGTGCCACCGTTGGCACCAGTGCCCTCGTCCTCTCCACAGAGCTGGTGGGCAGACGGTGGAGGGAAGAGGTTGGCACAATTGGCTTCTTTTGCTTCACAATTGGCTTCCTCTCTCTACCCACCATGGCCTACTTCACTCAAAACTCTTCATGGAGGGTCCTATACTTGATGGTCTCTCTCCCCACATTTTTCTACTCAATCTTGGTGCATTTTTTTGTTAAAGAATCACCAAGGTGGCTTCTAGTGAGAGGAAGAAAAGAGGAGGCTCTCAAGGTTTTGAGATCAATGGCTAGGCTCAATGGAAAGAGCCTTGATTTTAACATAGAGGCACTTAGCATAGAAGAGGAGGCATGGAATGTGAATGTTTATTCAGCCATGAAAATACTGTGGGAAAAAAGGTGGGCTTTTAGAAGGTTGTTGGTTACAATGGTTGTTGGTTTTGGGGCGGGGCTTGT